GGCCTGTACCCCCCTGTAGCACCCACCCCTGCAGCACCCCCTGCAGTACCCCCCTGTAGCACCCCCCCTGCTCACCGTTGTTGTACATGATCTGGATGCCCCCCAGCTGGTTGTTGGAAGTGTACACATCTCTCCCCAGCACCTTGTTCAGGGCCTGCGCTCCCGTAAGGATGATGTGGGAATTTTCCACCTGCACAACTCGCTGGCCCAGACGCACCAGGTACGAACCGATCCCGATGGCCCGGCAGGATACCTGTCAATCAAACAAGCAGCTGTCAATCAAGGAAGCAGCTGTCAATCAAACATGGCAGCTGTCAATCAACCATGATACCTGTCAATCAAACATGATACCTGTCAATCAAACATGATACCTGTCAATCAAACATGATACCTGTCAATCAAGGAAGCAGCTGTCAATCAAACAGGCAGCTGTCAATCAAGGAAGCAGCTGTCAACCAAACATGACACCTGTCAATCAAACGACACCTGTCAATTAAACATGACACCTGTCAATCAAACGACACCTGTCAATCAAACATGACACCTGTCAATCAAACGACACCTGTCAATCAAACATGACACCTGTCAATCAAGGAAGCAGCTGTCAATCAAACAAGCCAGCTGTCAATCAAACAAGCAGAGGCAAACACAAGAGAACCAAACACGTCACTCCCTTTGTAGCAAGACTTACACTACACCAAAGTACCCAAATTACACTACAGCAGCCACACGTATCCGTACCAGGCTGATGGTGACGACTTCCTCGTACGCGAGCGAAGTTTCGCCTGCGATCATCCCCGACCCTCGCAGGTTCTCCACTCCCAGCCCATCATCCTTACCTGGGGGACAGGGGAAAGGGAAACATGAACCAAGTGGGCAGAAAAAACAAGGCCTGGGCATCCTGTGATTCCCAGATGCTACGACAGGAGCCAAGGCAACATACCTGGCTGGTTTGTAATTCTAACAATAAACTTTTCGTTACTGCATTGATGGTCAATGGAAAGACTGAAAGAGAAGGGGGTGAAACGTGGTGACGGAGGAAGGGTTTATCTTCGTGGAGAAAGAAGAAGGATTGCAACGGAAATTAAGACTGGCGTCTTTACAAGACATGGACTTAAATTGTTACTGGACTTATTGGAAGGAGAAGGACCTCGGTATCTACCAGAAGTCTTCCCTAACGTCGAAGAAGAAGAAGATGGTGTACCTACCGATGATGGCCGTGATCTTGTAACGCGACTCCCCGTCATCCTCCACATGTTCCGCATGGACCGAGTTCAGCCCACTCACCTGGGGGGAAATACGACACCTTAGTGTAATATGACACCATTAACACATGGACCGAGTTCAGCCCGCTCACCTGGGGGGAAACATGATACCTTAGTGTAATATGACACCTTTAACACATGGACAGAGTTCAACCCGCTCACCTGGGGGGTAATTTGACACCGTTAATACACGGGTGAAGGAAGTCTCACACACAGATTTGAATATTGCACATGCCTTCAAAGGCATCTGATCCTTACTACTAGTCTAAGAGTAACTGTTCCAGTCACATACACAATTACACTCTCAGGTAGTTCAAACTGTGACTTCTTTCAACAACAGTTTAAATACAATGAGCTTAATATATGCAAAGGGTATAGAGCATATCACTTCATGGGGTTGAACTACCCTTTACACTTACAGTATGTACAGGCCTGTGTGAAATGTTTACCTTTTTGTAGTCTGCGGGTGTGAGGTACAGATATCGGAAGCCCTGCGTGCAGACAAAATGTCAGATTAGCAAAAATCATCATCAGTAAAAAAATTATAGTGAGATATACAAATTACCAATGCCTTTCCATCTTGAGATTCAAACAAAATATCCATAGATCCATAGATCCCCAAACCTTGTCTGGATCTCCTGGATCCTCCCCCGATCCCACCCCAGATCCCACCCCAGATCCCACCCCAGATCCCACCCCAGATCCCACCCCAGATCCCACCCACCTTGTCTGGATCTCCTGGATCCTCCCATCGGATCTTGAACAGATGTTTGATCTCCTCGGCCAGACCGATTCTCGCTCCGCTGTTCGCTGAGATGTACAGTCTGGGCACGCCCAGGGAGCGAGACAGCTCAGAGGCTCTCTGGGGGGTTTAGAACAACATGCGATCAGTCTGGGGCTCTCTGGGGGGTTACACAAACATGGGATCAGTCTGAGGCTGTCTAGGGGTTTCTAGAAGTCTTCAGTGACATTCTCAGGCTCTCTGGGGGTTTATATGACCATTTGTTCATATTGAGGCTCTTTAAGTGTTTACAAAAAGACATGATCAGTCTGAGGCTGTCTGGGGGTTTCCAACAATATGTTATCAGCAATCTTGTAGGCTGATATAAGTCTCTTTAGGGGTTTACAAAATATCAAAGGCTCTGTAGGGTTTACGCAATACTCCTCTAAATCCAAAAATATTTTCTGTCAATTTTCTTATCAATCTGACCTTGAAAAGTTCATCCTCCTGAGTCCCAAACGAGCCAATCAGGTGGGTGATGTCGTTGCCGATGACGATGACCTCGCGACCCTCGGGGTACTCGGGCGTGCGGAGGAACATCTTCCAGGCGACCATCCCGATGTCGTTTTCTCCCTGCTGCCGGTTCATTTCGACCAGCTGCGACTGGCTGTCCAGAACCAGCTCTGTACAGGTCAGCTACAGAACAACACAGAACAGGTCAGCTACAGAACAACACAGAACAACACAGAACAGCAGTTACACCACTACTGTAACCATCCCGATGTCGTTCTCTCCCTGCTGCCGGTTCATCTCAACCAGCTGCGACTGGCTGTCCAGAACCAGCTCTGTACAGGTCAGCTACAGAACAACAACAGTACAGGTCAGCTACAGAACAGCACAGAACAACACAGAACAGCAGTTACATCACTACTGTAACCATGCCGATGTCGTTCTCTCCCTGCTGCCGGTTCATCTCAACCAGCTGCGACTGGCTGTCCAGAACCAGCTCTGTACAGGTCAGCTACAGAACAACAGTACAGGTCAGCTATAGAACAACAACAGAGTACAGGTCAGCTGCAGAACAACAACAGAGTACAGGTCAGCTGCAGAACAACACAGAACAACACAGAACAGCAGTTACACCACTACTGTAACCACGGCGATGTCATTCTCTCCCTGCTGCCGGTTCATCTCAACCAGCTGCGACTGGCTGTCCAGAACCAGCTCTGTACAGGTCAGCTACAGAACTACAGTACAGGTCAGCTACAGAACAACAGTACAGGTCAGCTACAGAACAACAGTACAGGTCAGCTATAGAACAACACAGAACAGCACAGAACAACACAGGTCAGCTACAGAACAACAGTACAGGTCAGCTACAGAACAACAACAGTACAGGTCAGCTACAGAACAACAGTACAGGTCAGCTACAGAACAACAACAGTACAGGTCAGCTACAGAACAACACAGACAGCACAGAACAACACAGGTCAGCTACAGAACAACAGTACAGGTCAGCTACAGAACAGCAGTACAGGTCAGCTACAGAACAGCACAACTGGCTGACCAGAAATAAGGAGAAACTCACCAGTTCGTTGTCAGCGGGCGCCTGGACTCCCTCCCTCCGACTCACATACTGCTTCCACAGTTTCAGCAGAGCCTGGGGAGGGGGGGCAGAGGAGTACAGATGTAAACAGATCTTATAAACATGAACATCTGATAAACATGAACATCTGATAAACTACCTCCACATGTGAGACCTGTCCTTGGTGCTGATTGACTTACATCTTGGCCTACCTTTCAATCTGATTGGTTAGTCTACAAACTGATAGGCTAAAACTTTGCCCTGTGCTTGATGCTAATTTTTCAGCTCTTCTCCGATTGGTTAGTTGTAGTTTTGATCCTGGTAAGCTCAATGTTTGGCCTGTCCTTGGTGCTGATTTCCTAGTTGTACTGACTTCTCTCAACATCTTAGGAAAGTCATGACACACAGGCACACACAGACACTTACACACAGACACACAAACACACACACACACACACACACACACAGACAGACACACACACAGACAGACAGACACACACACAGACAGACACACACACACACACACAAACACACACACACACACACACACACACACACACACAAACACACACACACACACACAAACACACAACACACACACACACACACACACACACACACACACACAGACAGACACACACACACACACACACAGACAGACAGACACACACACACACACACACACACACACAGACAGACAGACAAACGTGTGTACAGAGACAGACCTGTCTGAACATCTCCGGGAAGTCGTAGATGTAGGTTGTCCCCTCACACACACAGACAGACACACAGACAGACAGAAACACACACAGACAGACAGACCTGTCTGAACATCTCCGGGAAGTCGTAGATGTAGGTTGTGCCCAGGGATTGAGCCTGGAACCGTTTTGCCTGCAGATGGTCCTTCGTCATGTAGGGTGTGTTCAGTAACATCCCGTTCAGGGGGCCGCGCTTTCCGCCATAGCCTTGGAACATGATCTGTTACAGACAGGAATATAGTAGTTATTACATGGGGTTAACCCTCAAACTGTCCAGTTCTGTACACAACAGTAGGGAGTGTTCAGGTATTTCTTTGTTTGATATGACAGTGTAGCAAACTGACCTGTATGTGTTTGTTTGTTTGTTTGTTTGTTTGTTTGTTTGTTTGTTTGTTTGTTAAGCACATGAATAAAACTGACCTGGCCAGTCCTGGGGTTGACCACCTCCTTATACAGGCTGATATCCAGGTAGTAACCGGACTCGTTGTTGAGGAACAGTCTGATGGGGACCGGGGGGCTGGTGTGGTTCAGCCGGATGTTGATCTTTATCTCCGCTTGCGTCACCCGAACCTTCCACAGACGGTGGCCGTATCGCATCACCATGGAACGCACGTTCTCCTCGATCTGCACAAACAAACAAACAAACAAACAAACGGGTGAGTCATAGGGAACTATACAGGTGTCTGTATCGCATCACCATGGAGCGCACATTTTCCTCGATCTGCACAAACAAACAAACAAACGTAAGTCATTAGGGAACTGTACAGGTGTCCGTATTGCATCACCATGCATCACTGAAGCTAGCACACCACAAGTACAGTGGCAACACAAGCAATGACACAAGCAGAGATCCACTATTAGTTTTATTAGGAATATAAGAAATGACAGAGGTCCACTGTCACCTTAGTTGGGTCCATGATGACGGTTGGTACAAAGTTGAGGAAGATGTGGTTACAGTCAGTCCTCTTGTCCTGCGGAGCAGAAGGGAGAAACTTTCAAAGTTCTTTTCCATGTAAGATTCAATAAAAATGATGCTTTTCTACACTAGAGACTGGACCAGCCTATATTGTATTGCACTGCTCTATACTATACTGTACTGTTCTGTACAGTTCCGCACAGTTCTGGAATTATAACACATTTTGGTGGTGTTACAATAATAAGCTAGCAGACTAAGAGGGAAATAACCAGCTGAAGGAAAGAAACATCCCAGGAAAGAAACAGCTCAGGAAAGAAACAGCAGCTAAAGAAAGAAACCAACTCACCACGTGCTGTTGAAAAGCAACCTCCAGTTCATCCATAGCTTCCAGCAGAAGCCTCTCCCCTTCATTCTGCAGGTACTCGTAGGACGCTTCCTGTAAACAACAACAGCCCATCAAAACAAACAAACAAACAAACAAACATTCTCTCCCCTTCATTCTGTAGGTACACACACAATATGACAAAGCTTTCATCAGCTGAAAAGACGCTGGCATAAGATTTGACCTTTGCAGGAGAGGAACTGACCTTGGTGACAAGGTCAGAGTGTCGGATGATCGCTCGGATGAAGAAGCGGAAATCTGTCACTGCCTGACCTTCAGCGAC